GGTCGGCGCTGCTGGTTGGTGATAGAGCTCGGGGTGTCTCATACCATTTACTGCAGGAGGAATGCCGGCCGAGGACGAATTTGCGCTGCTATTTGATATACCGGCACTACTGCTGCTGCCGTTCGATAGTATATAGGGTGATTTTGGGGTGGGTGGAGCGTTCGGGTCGATGGCGGCCGCGTTTTGCTTCTTCTGTTGCGCTGCTGCTTTCTGCATGGCGATGCGTCGGGCAGCGCGTCCGTGAATCGCACCGGCCGTCGCCGCTACAGCACCGACAGGTGTGTCACTATCCGAGTCGCCTTCGGATATTGAAGAGCCCGCAGAGGAGGAGGAGGACGCATACTGCGGGCGACGATGGCGATGGTTTGGTTTACCGGAGGCGACCGGTGCGGGATGATGCTGCTGCATACGGGAAGCACGGTTGAACGCTTTGGGGGCAGCGGGAGATCGCGCCCGTGAGGACGAGGATGAATAACGATCTTCGGATCTGGATCGGAATTGATTGGCAATGCTCAAAGAGTTGCGCGGTGCTTCCACGCCGGCCAGACCCTTCCATTTGTTCCAGTAGTCATCGGCCGGTTTGTCAAGGTCCGGATGATACTGCTGTTCTTGCGGTCGTTGGTATTGCTGCGGCGGAGGGGGCTGTGCGCGACCCAGCAAGGACTTGACAACGGTCGAACGGGCCACAGTGTGATCATCAGTGTCCCACGATGTGGATCTCGGAGGAGCAGTTGATGGCAGCGGCGCAGAGGTTGGGGCGACGTTCTTTCCTACCTTGTGAACTCGTGCTGTATATACGATCGGTTGTTGGGGTTTTGGAGGCGGAGCGAGAAAGGGGTTTTGACGACGAGTGCTGGTAGGAGCGCCATGGGTAGGTGCTTCTGTCGTTCGGGCGGAGGAGGTAGCAGGCGCCGAGTTCTCTTGTACCAGCAACTCGTCGAAAGCGCCGAGGATGTCACCGAGCAGACCGCCGGCAGCGGAGTTGCTTCCGGAGCTGTTGTCTTTTAGATAGGACATTGAAGAAAAAGAAAGGGAGGGAAGCAGAGTAGGGAGCGCGGGAAACTGAAGATTGAGGACGGTGCTAATGAGGTGCTCTTCTTGTACGATTTGCCTTGTCTGAATGTTATTCTGTACGTTCGGCAGGGTATGTGAACAAAAAAAAAGTGAAAGGCCGACGCTAAGAGCTTGCGGTTTATTGTCTGAGCAACCGCCCAACCGCAGAGAAACCAGTATCTGCAGTCCCACGCTCCCTCGTGCGAAATATATCGTCCGAGAAGAATCTATCGGTTGGTGTGTCTTTCCTTCTCTTTCCTCCGGCTGGTTTCTGTCTTGCGCAGCGTTTCTTGTCTCTCTTTGTGTGCGGGAGGGTTTACGTTGTGAGCAAAAAGTTCACAGTTGTTTTGGGGAAAGCCACGTTTACCGAGGGAATGGTGCGTGTGCTACCGGAAGGAAATTAAGCGCAAATGGATGATATTTTTTTATTTCGATTCCGCCAGCCAACAGACCAAGTTGAACCAACCAACCAGCCAGCCTTGCCAGTGCCCCAGAGGGTTGCTTTTTCCGCTTCAAGTTGGGTAAGTTCAACCGCGCGATTGCTCGAGTGGTTAATGTTTTGCCTTGCTTTGTTTTCCTTCTCGCTGACGGTGATGATGATGATAATGATGATGGTAGGAAGTGCAAGGCTGGCTGAGTTTGAAGTTTTGGAGGGAAGAGGAGGGTAAGGCCGGGGCTTTTCATTATTACTGTCATACGTCACGGCTGGCGACCGTCGCACACACACGCGCAAGCAACAAGCTGAATGAGTGCCGGGACTCTGGGAGACGCTGAATGTACGACTCTGCGGCGGCCGATGAGGGGGTCCCAAGATCAATCAATTCTGCGGCACTACAAGGAAGGAAGCGTGTTTAGTCGTACTAGTCGTATTAGTGGATGGAGGGATGGGCTCTGTTGTGTTTCAAGAGGCATTTGGTGGCACCGCGTCAGTTTCTTCAATTGGCCCATCTGATGACTCAGCAAGCGCGCCTTGCCACAACACAACGCCACGCACGGGTGAGAGCGGCTTGGGAATAATCAAAGAAGAGCTGGTGGATGTAGTGGTGAGACACATAGTTTTCCCTACAAGTTGTGGGACACCTCAGTCAGTACTATCGCATACACTATTGAACTGTCAATCATTGACATTTTGGAGATTCGACGTATGATTCTTGTCGCGTCTAGCATGGTCTGATAATTTGCGCACTTGAAGACACAGACGCCTACATCTTCCAGCTCCATCATCATCCTCAGGCTTACGCGTAACAATGTTTCGTCGTCTTGTCCGCTATATTGAAACTCCCGACGACGCAATACCGCACCCAGCAGCAAAAGAGGTCCGCCAACGTGAGTTTCTACCATCTACAGTTACAAGCATTCAACATCACACCTTGCATTCGAACACTCACAAAAGAGCTGTTGAACCGATGGCCGCCGGATGTAATTTAACAGAAGGGCATATCAGGCTCATCGCTGGTGCCCGATGTGTGATTGCTTAATTTGCTCTTCTGCCCTTCTGGCGCTCTACCGTTCCTGATAATCATGAGATCGACGACCAATGCGCTTGAATGTTGATACCGCCTCGCGCATATATGCGACATCCTACATCTATCCCGTGTACAATCGAGCGCGCTGTTCGCTTGCGTGGCTTGCAGTGCCGCTGAAATACGAATTGGGGATCGCCTTTGCTTCCGTGATTTGCCAAGATAGAGGTTCCCGTCTATCGGATCTTTTCTCCCCCCACCAGACTATTATTATTTTAGTTAGTAGAGCGAGGCGCGTCGGGCGGGGGTTGCTTACGTAGGCGACGGAAGCACACAGGAGCCCCCTTCTCTCTCTGCGCTCGCTTGTTCGCTGTCAGTCTATCTTTGCTCGCTCGAATTTGTTGCTATTCCTAGCATTCGCTCGCCCTTCCCTTGAAACCACATCACACATCCATCATACAAGTATGCTCGCCGATCAACCCCCACTCCCGCCTATTCCGCACTCGGAGGGAAATTCAAATTCATCAGGGACAGACCATTCACCTAATACCATGACTATCCCCAGAAGCCGACGATCAAGTATGGCGGCCGCCAAGGAGCATGCGTGGTTGGATGCGCTGGCGCACTGGGATCAATCTGTGAAGAAGCGCAAGAAGGTGGGTGTGGCAACCAAAGGAGCGAGAAAACTTTTTTTTTCATCTCTGCGCACGGAACTCAAGAAACTTCCCGCGAACGGGGATTTTTTTTATACAATCAGATCAAGAAATTGGGACGGCAGGGAATCCCAGAATCGCTGCGAGCAACTGTGTGGTGTAAACTGGCCAAAGTCGACGAAATCAAGAAGCCAGGCCTGTATGATGTGAGTCAGGATGGCATTTTTTCGTGAAAACGAAGCTTCCTGGCTGCCTGCTAATACATGCGTGAAACCTGACAGGGTCTTTTGGCGCAACGAGACGATGCCATCTTTGACATCATTGAGCGAGATATTGGCCGGTGTTTTCCAGGTACTTGTCGGGAACATGTTGATTGGCCTTTCCCAATCCGGATATGCTTGAGATAACCAATGCTGCTCGGCCAATGTCCAATGCAGAACACAAGATGTTTGCCGAAGAAGGCGGACCAGGGTGGGTCTCGTCAAATGAGACACTTGGAATTTACATATGGGCTGATGATGAAGATTCTCCTTGTAGTCAAACAAACCTCAGAAACGTTCTACGGGCTTACGCATTATATAATCCTGAGATTGGATACTGCCAAGGAATGGGAATGTTGGCGGGGGTGATGCTTATGCACATGCCACCAGAGGTATGTTGTTTCGCCGTGAGAACGCTTTCGAGCTACTGAAGGCCGGTGTGAAACCAAATCACGGAAACGAAACTAACCCGAGAATACTGAATCCCGCAGGATAGCTTTTGGCTGCTGGTCAGCACACTGCAAAATGTTCTAAAGGATTTTTATACCCCTGTCCTCCTGCAACTGCGCCGGGATGCCGCCGTGTTCGAGGCCCTCCTGTTCAAAACATCCAAGCGGCTTGCGCGGCATATGGTACGTCAATCCATCATTGCAGAATGAGAAATGTTCCATCGCGCGTTACCGACTGGGGATTTTTCTCGGTGCCAACATAGGATACGCAAGAAGTGGGGCCTCTGATGTACATTACCCAATGGTTCCTAACAGTCTTTACAACATCCTTACCGTGGGAGACGGCGCTGAGAGTGTGGGATATGCTTTACTGTGAAGGTAATGAAAACGGTATCTCAGGGACAACCGCCATGGATAACAGGACTAACTCTGCGCTCAACAGGAATCAAACCACTTTTCAGAATAGGCCTTGCTATATTACGCATCAACAGAGGTAAAAACCCCGCGTTGTCCTTGAATCATGAATCGAACTCGTGATCTCATCTACTCTCCACGCGCGTGTAAAAATCTAGACTTTCTTCTCAAAGAGTGCCCGACCAACGCCGAAATTCTCAGTCTCCTCCTCCACCTTCCGAAAGACCACCTAGATGCCGACAACCTCGTGAAAACCTCGCTCAAAGTCAAGATACGCAAAAAAGACATTGAGCAACTACGCACAACCGTCGCCCAAATAGACATACCTGACCGCGGAACCATCAGCCTCATCAAACGGAAAAAGAAGTGACATTAAAAACGAACCCCACAAGCCCCGTCCCGCGCGGAGAGCAAATGTTTCCCCCCCAACGCCTACCTCCTCATATATCCTTTTTGATTTCCAGTATATTCTCTACTCTTCATATGCAATATCGATACTGCCCCTTAATGACTGGCGACGCGTACCTGCCAATGTATCGGCGCCTTCATACCTCCCCCCAATGCCCCATCACATCAGCGTTGTGCATGCACGTTGCCATCCGCCGCAACGCTCACCCAGTCGTGTGAAAACAACGAAAAGAAAAGTAATTTGATGGAACTCGGTCCTACGAAAACCGAAAGGTAAACAATAAAAAAAATGATTCGAAAGGGTCCCTCCGGGGTTTGAACCCGGGACCTCTCGCACCCAAAGCGAGAATCGTGCCACTAGACCAAGGGACCTTTTATGAATGGAGTGCGAGATTGTGCCACTAGACCAAGGGACGGTTATCAGTAGAGCGGATTGTCGGCGAGATCGTGCCACTAGACCAAGGGACCCGTTATGAGTAGAGTGCGAGATCGTGCCACTAGACCAAGGGACTTTTTATGAATGGAGTGCGAGATTGTGCCACTAGACCAAGGGACGGTTATGAGTAGAGCGGATTGTCGGCGAGATCATGCCACTAGACCAAGGGACCCCGTTATGAGTAGAGTGCATTGTCTGCGAGATCGTGCCACTAGACCAAGGGACTTTTTATGAATGGAGTGCAAGATTGTGCCACTAAATGAAGGGACGCTTATAAGTAGAGCGCATTGTCGGCGAGAATGTGCCACTAGAGCATGGCCTTGGGGGGGACACATGGCATAGACAGGCGCACAGCAACTGAGACCATATTAATGGAATAAGAGTAGAGAGGCGACACACGGATGTGTATTGTCACGGGTCGTCGTGCCAGGACACCAAAGGAGAGTATCTATGAATGATTGAGGCCTTTGCGTCTTTTGCCATTAGTCATGACTAAATGTGGTCCTGGAGTCGTCCAAATCCGAGCGCCCAAGTGGGAAGAATATGGCTTGGCTTGCCCTTGGCACCCCGAGCGTGCGCTGGCGCTTGGATGCACCCTCGTTGCAGGTTAAAACAATATATGATGCGATTTAAGGCTGTGGACATCATCGAATGGCTTCTACTCTACGAGTCAGCATGATCTTTCCAACCTTGAGCTACCCTGCGCAAACTTCGAGAGGGCGGGCAAATTCGGGACTGCCTTGAAAAGTTACTTAGGACTCCAGGTGGGATTGTCATTCTGGCGAGAGCGCTTATCATGCAGAGTTGGATGCAAGGCGCGCTGCCAAAGCTGTACCGAATATCTTGCACGAGGGAATATCGTTGAGCGAAAAAAGACACCTTTCCAATGAGCCACATGATATTCCTTCTCTCTTAACACTTGATAGTCGGATAGAACTGTTGATCCGGTTCACATGGACAGGTTGACCGAGAAATGGATGAGACGCTCGTGACTGTCCGTATCAACGTGCTTTTTAAGATATGGCTCGAGTTGTCCTTCCTTTTGTCCAAATACATGGTCGACGCATTTGCACATTATTTCAGGGGACACAATCTACACACATATGATGTATTTCCCTGCAGTAGCAGCAAAGAGCTTGGATGCAGAACCGTTCGCATCCACCTAGAGGATCACACTACGCCGCGTAGTCATCATGGTACAATTGACTGGCCAGATACTCCTCCCAAGAAATGAGGCCATCCGAATCTATATCATCTTCCAACAGCGCATGGTCAATCATATCCTCCACGTCGGCCATCTTGAGCCTCTGGTCTTTGGGTGGCAGTTCGCCGGCGTGCGTAAAGGCGTTCCGGAGCTCGTGGCCGTCGAGGTGGTGGTCTTTGTTGACGTCGTGCAGCGAGAAGAAATAGTACAGATCCTCTTCATCTGCATTCTTGAAGGCAGGAATGTCTGTCAAAGGGGGTGCTGGAGGGGAATGCTCTCGTGCATATTGTGCGGCTTTGTGATAGTTGCCGTAATTTGAGCGCGAGTCGTGTTGGATGCTGTGCACTGACGGGACCGTCACCAGGAGGATAAAGGATAGGAGGAGAAGCGGATACGCAAAGACCGAGAAGGTCAAGTTGCGGAACATTTCGTCGTTCGTGTTTGCCGATTAGACACAGTTGGGCAAGAATGTGTTGACGCCCAGAAAACGCGTCGACGTGGATGGTCCCACGACATCCTTTGATTTTGCAGACGTAATGATATTGATGAAAAACTATACACTTCTAGCGATATTAGGGTTGGACTATGTACAGATGAATAATCTATCGACTCATGGAGGCCCAGAGGCACTCTATGTTCATTCCATCTCGATCAGGTAATCAACTCAAAGGTCGCTGGGAGGCAAACTCGGCCGGAAGTATCTCGCACCAGTACAAAGTGGGTGTGCCGTCGGTTCAAACCAATACTATTTTGCACGACCCGATGCAAGCTTCCAAGTTTGCAACAAGCTATGGACGTGCCATGCCCGCGTGCAACCGAGAAACGTCCGGTCGTGACGAACCCAAGCAAGGCGTTCGGAGACGGCGCAACATCGAGAAGGTTACGATCTTCATCGACATTCCAGTCTTTGTCCTTTTTCGAGATTGAAGCGTTCCAGAATTCATATTCTTCTTGGGTAGCTGCATATACATATGCTCTGTCTCCCGGCGAACCTTTGCGGAGCATATTTATCCGGACGCGTACCAGGAGTGACGAAACGAGTTCGAGTGTGAGATTCGGTAAATGGGAAGAGGGAAAGCGAGCCTCCGTGAGAATCTTCCAATGTTTGAGAAATTCCTCCGAAAGTGACGAGACCGGGGAGGCGACCAATGAAGTGCGAAGGTACGTGATGAGCCGGGGACTGCTGATCACAAACACATTGCGGTTAATGTGAGTGGGGATGGCTGAATCTAACGCTTTTGACACCGGGTCGGTAGATGCGCTATCTGTTGCTCCCGCGTCTGCTATCGTCTGTGCCATCACCACGCCTTCCATCGCATCAATGGTTTCTCCTTCAATCCCATCCATCGCATCGACACTTCCTACTGGAACAACATCCATAGCATCTACTGTCTCTTCACGTGCTTGGGCGCCTCCAAGCTTCTCGAACGGGCTGATGAAAGGATGTAGAATACCCCGCTTCTCGTAGTTTGGTCGTTTCGCTGGTGGCAGGCGCTTCCACTTTTCCTCAGCGAGAGCTCCTTCCTTGGCAGCCAAGGCTTCATGAGATGTAGTCTCCGGATAGTCATCAGGGAAGCAAGGCACACCGGCCTCGTAGTGAAACATGTGGCGTTCGCGGAGGCCTCCGATGCGAGCTCCAGCGAACACGAGGCTGCGCAATAACGCCTTACCCCATCCCTTGGGAGCTACTAGATCCCATCCCGCCACATACTCTCGAGAACCTTTTCGCGTTGAGACATCAGTGACATGAGCCATACAATTACGCTGTAGAAGGAGGATGGGGACTCTCACGTCCTCGGGGGTTGTCCCGAGGGGTGTACCCGGGACAAGACACTATGAAAGGTAGGTGCCGTTATGTTACGAGCCTACGATGCTAAAGCAAAGCCTCTCCCCCGCATGCGTACCTCCGATCTGCGCTTGTTCAAGGCACCTTCAGTGGGTTTCGTATCCATGCAGGATTGTCGTATGCTTGAGTCCCAGATCTCGGTTCGAGCAACATCATCCGGCCAGGCAGCTAACAAGGCCTCCGCAATGTGCTGTCCGTCGGAGGAAGGCATTGCTCGTGGCGGCATTTTCGGAGCAAAGCTAACCAAACAAAGCAGCAAGTATGAACAAAGGTGCGCCATGGAAACTTCTACGCAGCGTGAAATCAAACCTGATCCGGGGATCCACAATGCTGAGTCCAACTGCAACGCCGGGTGGCAGTGACGCAGGCGTGTGGAAATCAGCGATTTTCTCCCATAGCTAGAGGAGGCAGGATTAGTGTCCGAGTTCATCTCCTGACGCTTCCCTTTGTACAAACCTTGTGCCCAGCTGAAGTTGGCTGTGATGGGCCAACACAATGTTCGCTTAGATGCATGATATGATGTAGGATGGCATTTGACCGCGGTCCTGTTATCTCAAATCGAACAAGTTCCTCTCTCAAGTCGTTGATTTCGATTTCTGGTGTTGGCAATCTGAATGTCAGTATTCAAGTGGAGTAAGACATGCGGCCGCAGCAGAGTTTCTCGTACCTTCCATCTGAAAGGTCTCTATGTGAACCCGCTTCAGCAGGTCAATCACGAGACGGCGGAAAGCCGGATGGAGCCACATCCAAAGCGTTCGTCGCTCGCTGACATCTCCTTCCGTTGGCTTCCAAAGGAAAGTTGCGGGACCGATAGCCCCCGCGGGATATTGCATGAATCCATGAATCAATGTTGATCCCTGCCTCGTTCCTTTGACATATCTATGTTGTAATGGAAGAGAACGATTGGAACGCGCTGGGTCGCCGAGAACATGACGTGAAGCTGCCGTACCGTTTGCTTGCAATAGCCGGAAGCGTTGGATCTGTTATGGTCAACAAAAGAGCGTTCAACGCTTCCACTGTGCCCGTCATTTCCACCACCTCGAAATATGAGACATCGTTGACCAGAGACTCGTTCTTGGCTGCCCGAAAGGCAGACCGAAAGTTCTTGTCATTCGGGTGTTGAGGCAGCTTCCATCCCCAAACATCCATGATTTTCATTCGTTTTGCATTCCACAGGTGAGTCTCTAGCAATCTGCTTCCACCATGGGCCCTTTGAGCAGATGCTGGTCTCTTCTTCTTTGGTTTGGTCTTCTTCTGGGTTCCAAATTTGACTTTGCCGAAATTGGGATCGCTATCAAGTTGTGCTTGTGCGCGTGCATGCAGTCGTTTCGGCAGCCGCTTAACGTTGTGACTGGCCGCACGCCGACGCATGTGCCGTGGAACCGTTTGAAAGACTCGCGCAACACCAGAGTGTTCGGTGGCATTTTCCAAGGCCTTTTCCATCGCGGTGATCTCAAAGGCTCGGGCTTCAGCAAATTCGACCACACTGATGGACCGGAGCATGGTGCTAGCTTCATGTACATCCTTCTCTTTCGCCCCGGCATCGTTGCCTGTTGGCTTCACGGAGGGACCTCCTTCTCCGGAAGGGACTGCTCTGGCCTCACCTTGAACAGCGATCTGTTGCCTTGCTTTCTTCCGATCTTTTGCGTTGACAAACGTGGATGGACGCTTTCCCTTGCCTCTCCCCACCTCCTCCCCGATATTTTTGTCCGGCCCCATGCTGAAGGGCTGGTCTGGCGGTGGTGCTGAATTTGAACTTTTCCAAAACTTGGGAGAGTGGAAAGAGTCGAGCGCTTTTTGGATCACGTAATCTGAGAGTCACGTGGCCCGACCTCTCATTCTTTTTGACGACACTTTTTTGACAGTTTTCTCCAAGAGCTTTGCAG